GCACATCGCACGCTCGGAACGTTCGTTTCAATTTTATGATTCTGTAAGTTTTTAATTGCAGCGTGCTCTAATGAATTACGGTTTCCAGTGACCGATGTAACTCGCTGTTCCGTGACATTTACAAACGAATTCTTCCTAGTGTCCCCTGTTATGTAACGCAATTGCGGTAAGATTCGACCGATAAAGATCTATTGTTGCGGTATACATGGGAAAATCAATTGCAGCTTATATGATAATTAGTGTTACACAATACCGTACTGTCATCTATTGGTTATCGATTGATGGGCGGTTCTCAATTTTTATGATTACGCACAGAGCTTTATTAAAGAATTTATACACTCGAAGCTGTCGTTCATGCGAACTGAAAGTAACAGATTGGATAAAACTGAATATCGCATCAATTTTTTTACTATTAACATAATCGTACGTTTGTAAGACTTTGACTTTTTCCAATACATTGTGTCAAATTACAATATTTGGCGAGTTTACGCATTGATTAAGAAGAGACAAAGGTTATTGGATAACTCGAGAAACTGTCTTTTTTCCAAAAAATTGACAGCGTACTTATATTTGCGTTCTTATCAATACTATAACGTAGCAATGTTTCTTGGTAAAATGAAATCGCTTCAATTTTCTCGTAGATGCAAGCACGATCTGTAATAAAATTGTTGCACAGATCATCGGATCGCCTGTTAACTTTTATTTTCGAAATTACACGGATGTTACGTTTCTAGTAGAATTCCTTAGCATCCAAGAATTTTCTTCGTCAATCGAATTTGTATCGCGAACGTTTTCCTACGTCGAATACGTTTATTTTAATTCTCCCATTAATAAATCAAGGCATTGATTAAATTGTAGAAAGTCTAAGGACAAAAATATGTTTCTTCGCTTAAATTTTGAATTTTACTTCAAAGGGGTTTATAATGGAATGAAGATGATTCGAATATTTATTCCAAAGCTCGATACGTATCGCGGAAGACGCGAGTTTCGAAAGCCTTTTCTGTAAACTCGTCGATGTGTTTGTAAGTGTTCAAGTGTTTGAGAACGATAACAAAGGAATCCGTTCGATCTTGAATTATCGCGTTGACACGCTTAAAAACAGCTTATGCGTTTGCCTGTGCAAGCTGCATTCCTTACACGTTCTGCCGATTTCCCCTCATTCTCCCCTGAGGTTGATCGATTTCCACCGAAATCAATAGAATCCAACGGTCATGCCATTTCACTGAAATAGCCTGTTCCGATTTCAAGCGGTCCGCTTATTTGCGATTTGATCTTCTGTCAAAGTTCATTATCACTCTTCAAAACGAGTGTCACGAATTGGGAACTGATAACAAATTTCCCCTGACAGTTATCAGAAATTTCTTGAAACGTCCAGCCTCGCTACAGTCAGTCAAGAACTACTCAATTTTTTTCCAAGATGAACTTAGTTTCCCAAACTTTCTCGAATCTCTCGATAAGCTTTTAGAAGTTAGCGACGATTATTATTAAACTAGTTGTAACAAGTTATTAGTAACTCGAGTTTCATTAGTGTCTAAGAATAGCTCGTCCCAATCTTGCACAAGATTCTTTAAGGTTCCCCACTGAAATGTTCACTTTTGCTCTATTTATAAATGTATTGATCCGAAACAAGGTGGTTCGTCGTATATATATATATATATAATAAAAAGGAATTCTTGCTTTCCGTGTTTCAAGCGAACGCATATGCGCGTGTCTTCGTTTCTCGCGGTCACTATGATTTTGTGGCAAAATCATTGGAACATTTGAAATGCCACTGGTACGTGGCCGTGAGGGAAGATTTCAATCGTGACAAGTAGTCGCATTCGAAATAAGGGAGACTTCGAGGCACGGTTCGAAGGAGATTCGGGCAATATGGACGTGGCTGGGAAATGTTTTGGATTAGAAAAGCAGATTCGGTTTTACTTTCGTTGAAACACAATACGTCAGTGCGGTTGCTGTAGTAACGTAACATTTTCACGGTTTTTTCGAGATATCGATCACGCCGTATGCGAAACGCGACGGCGCCACAAACTTAGAAGCCACCGTGGTTCTTTCGTGAAGTAGGTCGTTGATATTGTTGCGTCTGCGTTCGATTCTTTGTACAGGAAATGACACCCTCTGTGGCATCCATCGGTGCCTTTGCTATCTCGAAAACTGCCTGACTGCGTCACCGATTCAATAAGATTTTTTCTTCGACGTCCCGACGTCGATGAATTAAATCGCATCGGGAATTTTGTGGAGTGCCCGTTTTAAAGACGCCCAGATTCTATAGGCTCGCTTCATATGCATATAAATTGATTCTAAAGGAACAATTGTCTTTAACAAAAAGCATGACGAAAGTATCGGAATATTCAAAAAGTTTTTTCCGCTTTTTCATTTTGCATCCCCGTAATTTAGAAACTCTTTTCTTCTTCGATCGTAATGGTCTCTTGTTCGCGTATATAGTTCTTTTTTTTCAGTTTTCAACGGTATTTTTGTGAACGAATGAAAAAAAATGGAGCAACGATAACGTTAATAACGAATGCTTCGATTAAGTAACAGTAATTAAATTAGTTATACGAGGTTTTCGGTGGCGAAAAATGTGTATATTATTTTTTTATTTTAATCAATTTATTTAATTATAAATATATGTGTATAGTCTTGTAATAAGCTTCGATTTTATTTATTATTATAATTTTAGTTAATTACAAGTGAAATGTGATTAATAGATTGACAGTTTGTGTGAAATTCATTGTGGATTTGTAAAACAATTTACGAAAGCAAGAGTCCAGTAAAAATTTGTTTTTTTTCATTAGGCATTCGATTATTACAGTAACATAAAAACTATTTGAATCAGGATGGTTATTTCATTTTTCTTTGCATATTAATGACGGCTATATGTTATACTATATATTAACGACATTATATCACAACGATGACTACCGTTTATACCAATTTCAAATTAAACAAATTAAAAATTGAGTAACATTATTTTCAAAATATTTTATAGTATCACAATTTTAAACAATTCTGAATACAATGTAACAAAGACATTACCTTTTAAAAAATTTCTCATTACTTATGCAATAAGCAATGAAATTGATTCTTTTTAATAATAAATACATTATTTTTTGATAAAATAGCGAAATAAAAATTACAAAATAATAGACACTGTTTTATTTTTACTTTGCACACTGTTATAATCGTTAGCAATTAGGTATTTCTCATACTTAATTAGATTTACATTTCTGTAGATTAATTTTCGAAAACGAGAATAGAAAAAAGTTCATCCGTTTCGTTAAGATTTATTATATTGATAATAAAATACAAATTTTATTGAAGCATATGGAAATTTTTATTTTATATCATTTTGTGCATTCGTATTTTCCTCAAGTATATAAATATTCTATTTTCCATTAATTGAAAATAAGTTGTAGCACGAATATTTCAAAGAACATGAAAATTTGGTTTGATGCAAATTTTCCGAATGAAAAATTGAAATGAGGGCGAAATTAATGCGCGAGAGTGAAAGAATCGATCGGACAGTCGGAAGAAATCTGATATCCTACAAGTCCTCTTCGAAAGAGGGTAAGACTTGTAGGGTTGGTTAGTTCAGACGAAGAGAGAACTAATCCAACAGCGCGGATATTTGTCTAATGTAGCGAGCCTCGCACACAGGGATCAATAACCTACTCTGGTTTTCTCGCGCTACCAGCCAGGTCGTAGCGTCAACACGATCCCCATATTTTTTTCCCCAGTTTCAGTTTTTTCTTCTCTGATAAATCCTTGTTTATAAATATTGGATTCTCCAAAGAAAATTTATTGCGTTTTAATGTGCAATTTCGTTTAATAAATATCATTTCGGTCCACCCATGTAATGTTTCAGGTGAATAAATTAGTGGGAAGAGAATAAATGACATTGCTAAATCAGGTTACTCTTCAGATTTTGGTTAGGATACTTTCGAAATGTTAAAGCAAAATGTAGAACACAGAGAATATTTGTGAATAAATTATATAGGAACTGAAATATAAAGTGTAGAAATATGAAAGTAACGAATTTCTTACCTAAAAATAATACTTTAGATTGAAGATAATTTTCAAAGTGAGGAGATTTTTTATTATTAACGCGTTTAATTTATTATTCTATTTTGATATTACGTAACTTAAGTAATAAGAATCAGTAATTTTAGAGTCCGAGGGGTATAATGCGATAAAATCAAGATGGGAAAAGGACTATTTCACTTCAAATGACATTTAATTTGAAATCAGCAAAAATGTACTATTTATTTAATTTAGAGCGTTGACTGGAATTCGCTATTAGGAATTTATCGAATTTTATGCAAGGCTATTTAATTTTAACTTAACACTTCTCTCCATTATATTCCAATCACTTATTTTTTTAATCGGTATTGTATAATATACATTCGATGATAATTCATCAATTATTGTAATTATACATGTTTGCTTGATAGGAAAGTTCTTTGTGGTATATGTTTGTGGTGCGTAAATGTCACTGATTCTTATAACAAACGCGTGGCATCGCTTGCAGAGTATCAATTCAGGTCAATTAGACCTTGAATCATAATTGTTACCATATTCTAGACTTCAGTTGCAACGCGTGCCCGTAAAAGAATTGTTCTGACAAAACAATGTTCTAACACATATTTTCTTACTGCTACTTGCTGAACTGTGTTTGACCTACTCGTTTCTCGTTGTAACCTGCACTCAATGAAGGTTTTCCGATCACCACGTCACAAAGATGATCGCTGTTGTTACCAAAATTTAGTTTTTACTAATATACGTTATAAATGGCTTTTTAGTCACGACAGATGCATATCATCTGCAGTACTGATTCAAAGTAAAATTTCTCTTTTATTTTTATTGTCAATAAACAGTAAACGAGAAGCTTTGCGATTCCCTTTCTGTATTTCCTTGTGCAAATGTTGTTTCTTTTTACTGTTATTTATAAGTGACTACTTAAGCTTTTAATCAGAGAAATGTTTCGATTTGTAAGCAGTTTAATATGTAAATTTAATTAAAGCTATTAGGAACAGAAGGAACGGAAAGTTTTAATGTTTTGCTATAATTTGAACCCTATTATTTCACTTTTACATTGTTTCAGAATACGAGTAACACGCTATATTTTCATTTCAGGGAAAATTTTGTTATTCTACATAATTTTCTATGCCGTACTTGCTGGTTTCTTCGGTGCTATGTTGGCCGTTTTCTATCAAACGTTAGACCCGAACGAACCGAAGTGGCAGCTGGATAGTTCTTTAATCGGAAGCAACCCTGGACTCGGTTTCAGGCCTATGCCTCCCGCGAGTAACGTCGAAAGTACTTTAATTTGGTACAAAGCTAGCGACGAAGGTAACTTCATACACTGGACCAAAGAATTGGACACCTTCCTCGCAGGTAAATCACGTTATCTTACGTTTCATTCATATGGCATTGCAGCAGTTACGTAATAGAGTAGGACTCCTTATTAGTACGATTGAAAAATCGTTGAAAAATAACTATGAAAGTGAGATTTTCCGTAAGAAACGAATACAAGCAGAGGATCAACTTAATATAAATTGGATCAGTGTCCAAAAGGTCAACTTTACGTGAAATTCGTAAACGTGAAACCCTATAATGCGGAATATTTTAATCGCGTTATAGGGAGTTCTACTGTGCAGTGTTGGACAGAAGAATGCTCGTGATGAAACGAAATTTGTTTCACACGAACTTTATTCAATTAATATCTTATTCCAATTGGATGATAATAAATTAATAAACTGTGTCCGAAGAAGAAACATTTTCTGTAGATTTTCATTTTCAAGAATAAATTTTAATTTGAACGAGACTCACGGGATGGAGATGCTTAATGTAAACAAACAATATTACCAATACAAACAGATGATTTTGTTTTGTGACAAAACTCAAAATTGTCGTTTGTATGTATAAATGAATATTACATGGCAATTTGTACAGTAAATATTTTTCATTCTTATTCATAACGAAAAATGTTGCTTTTTTTGTAAGACAATTTCAGATAATGGTAATAATGAATCGACAAAAGTAATTTACAATCTTTTACATAATGATAATAGTAACGTGCCATCAGCAAACTTTAACAGAGCTCCAAGGAGAGTTGGTAATTTGGTTAAACATTATAACCTAAAATTTATCACAACCAGTAGAAACTGTACATAGAAAAATTAATTTTCTAATAAGATAATGTATATTTCAAAAGTAAAGTCTTAATTTTTATATAAATTAAAAAATCAAGCGGTTACTATAATTTCGTTGAGAATCTCTGAACTACTTTCGATGAACATATTTTTATTATGGTATACTTTCACAATAAATCTAGTCTAAACGTTAGTATTTTACCAAAAAGACTGTGAGTTATGATAGAGACTAAAAAATGCAAAATATAAATGTCGATAAAACACCTACTTTATATTTACACGGAAATGTGTAATACATGTGTCATAGGTGTTTCATGAATTCAGTCACGACATGGGTTTTGATTAGTTCTGCGTTAGGTTGCATAGCATTGCGATAAATACATTGTGTACATATGGAATAACAAACTTCATTAATACTTTAATTATTCTGCATTGTAAATTATAACGAAGGACATTTTCTCATTGTTAGATAGAAATGGTAACTGATACAAGAAGAGAATTCAGTATGATACAACGCGTGGTATACTTTTATGTGTAAGTGTGAAAATTGTAATTTTCCTATTGGATTCTCTCTTTGTATCGTTTAGCCTTTTAACTCTTTTTTTGCTTGGCATTCTATGTATCTACACTATAACAATGAGACAAAGTTCTTCGTTATAATTTACAGTGCATAATAATTAAAATTTTTATAAAATATGTTATTCCATGTGCATACCGGATGTTCATTGCACTGGTATGCATACTTAACATAGGACTAATCTAAACTTACGTCGTGATTGAATTCATACGCGGTTGAGCATGACAAATATAATTAACCTGAAAGCTACTTGGTCCTGGGAGAAAAACTTGTTATTATTACTCCTAGAAAGGTCATCGCTCTTTTCTCATAGATGTTTGCATAGCAAACATGTCGAACCTTTAACAATAAAGTGCTAAAAAATATTTTGCAAGAACTTCATCCTTTTTAAATCAGTTACTAATTACGGTGAAATTTGTGTCAAACGAACTCTGTTTCAATTGAGAAGTGTCAGACGTTTTGGTTAATTTATATTTCGAACGTTGTTTTAATGATTCTTGTCATTCTCTGTATAATGGTGTATAATTAGAGTTTTAAGAGTCTATGGAATAATATTTTCAATTTTCGTGATGCATGACACGTTTAGAAAACATTTCGGAGCTACATTTATTCAAAACGTTATCTGTTATTAATGTGGTTAGGAGAATATGCTGATAATGCTTGACCAAACAACTTGACACCGGAAAGGTATCAGAAGTGCGAACATTTTTTCTTAATTTTGGACAAAGTTTTTTTTATTTTATTGTGTTTTATACATTTGTAAGTTGACTACATGTCAAATGGTGTTAATTCGTGTTACAAAATCTTGCATTCGGTTTTTTTACTTGCTCCGAGTGAAGCACGAAATAAAATAATATTTGTCACATTGTAGTCAATGGCAAAAGTCCTATAATGGTCCAATGCATTAACACGTAACAGCGAAATAAATAATTCAATTAGGTAACGTCTACTCAGTTTAACGATGAGTAAGTAATTATCTTCTTTTAAACGCTAGTGTGAAACAAGGAAGAAATTTAGGTCATTAATATAAATTTTCAGGGTTACCATGTAACTGTTAAAGTGATCTCTTAATTGATTTTTTTAATTGGACAATATTATTTTGATATAGTAATAATATTTCTAATGTATAATTCTCACGATGAAATTAAATTATATTACAATCTAGTTTTATGATTAAAGTTATCATTAAACTTACACATTTCTAATTATATGTGTGCTTATTTTGTTATTTTCCACCGAAGAAAGCAACTAAGAAAAATGATAATTCATATATTTCTACGACGATTTTGGTATATTTTTATTTGACCTGATTTGTTCGATTCTAAGAAGATTAAACTAATGTATTTATTAAGGGAATCCGTATAATTTATAATTTAAGTAATAGGTGTGAATATATAAAGTGACATTATATCTATAGGTATATTGAGATGCTAATATTAACCGATAAGCGCGAAAATCTACTTTGTTCTAACCAAGGAGTTACGTCAGGAGAGTGTTAAATCTGGTCAAGGTGACATCAATCTTCGGATCAGTATTAAAATGTCTTTCACTCGAGATGTCCTTAAACAATACTGTTTTTCTCTTGAATTACTTCAAAATAAATGTTTCTCTGAATTGAATTTATTTTTTATATCAATTCCGAATCTAAAATAATTACTTCAGCCTATTTTGAGGGCAAATCAGTCTTTCTCGTGCCAGTTGTTGTGACTTTTGAAAGCAGAGAATCAATTTGGTTATATTGTTTTCTAGACCGCAAAAGATATTTTCGAAACGAACTTTCAACGTTGTTAGATTTTTTAAAATATTTGAAGTGAAACATTTATTTACGAAAAACCATTTTCTTACACAAGAACGATATAAAAGTGAAAAGAAAATGTACCGAACATTTCGTAAATATAACACGCGTGGTATCTCATTTAAAGCGAGTCATTCAAATATTTTTTTCAGTGGTGATGGTACAAAAAGTATTTCATATCCTATTTGAATGGCACCAAAGGATGAATGGATAACAAAGAATATCTTTCGCTTTTCCTTTTGGCATTCTTACTGTACAGATACCTATGCTCTAAATGGTACACGTCGTCACATGATTAAAAAGTGTCTGGAAGTCCTTTCTTGTATGGGCAAAAATGGCACCATTGCTATTTATGTATATTATATTTTATTTGCTTTCTAAGAACGGTTATGAAGCTATAAACTACTTACCCATGCAGAAAGTTTAATCATAATTGACCAGGAAGAGCTTAAATGTGATCTCTTTAATACTGCTTACGGTTAAAAAAACAATCGTATTTGTGAAAAGGGGTTGACTTGGAAATGGAAATGGAAATGTTTCAAAATAGTAGAAGCAAATGCTAAAGAATTAGTATTAAAAATGCTGCAACACTAAAAATATTGGTAAAAGTTATGCAATTTTTCAAAGAAACTATTTCTATGAAAACGTAGCTACGTAAATAGTAATAATGTTGCTAATTTTTGTATAATAAAAGAATTTCAGGAAATTTGTAACAGTTGTATATTATTTGAACGAAATTGACTGAATCGAAATTTTACTTCAGTTTTTTGTATTATTTATCATACCTAGCCAATGTATTGTTTTTAACTTATAAAATAATGCATTTATTCAAATTCAATTTGAATGTTAACTTCATGTAAGTCGGAAAATGTCAAAATAACAATTACAATACTTATACAATGCGCAAGAATTACATCACCGATAATGGTTAAATAAACGCTGCTCCGATTATTTAACAATACATTTTATTCCTTTTTACTAATTAAGCCTTTTTGCATTGTAACAGAAATAACATTTAGTCGGATCATTGCGTTTTGTTTGTATAAATCATGTCCGAAATAAGATTCAACGTTGAATGGATTTATCATTTAAGGAGTTTATTTCGAATTTCTTTAGAGTATCATAAATCTCCGACCTTTACAAATGGCACTAAGAGGAGGGTGGCTTGCGACTACTGGAAACCACCAGCGACAGGTAGAGTCTGTGACGTAGACATGTCGTCGTGGGGACAGTGCACGAAAGAAAACAAATATGGCTATAATAAATCGGCTCCTTGCATTTTCTTGAAGCTGAACAAGGTACGTTTCATTTTATCGATATCACTTTTCATCGACTGATTTTCTGCTGTATTGTTTTTATTTGAGGATTTTTTAAAGTTCTATGACGATTACTAATATATTCATTAAATTGAATATTTTAAAGGGAACATATTGAAACGATATCTACCAGTTTTAATAAAATAAAGAAGAAGAAATTTTAATAGAAATATTTCACACACATTATTTTATTGGCTATTATTTATATTGAAAGAGTGAACACAGCCTTCCAAGTTGCAGATGAAGAATATATCTCGTAAAAAATCTTGGAGCCTAGCAAAAATAGAGGAACGTTATGCATGGCAAAATTATGTTTAAATAAGGAATCCAAGTTGATTCTAGAAAGTTCCATTTGTTTAATTAATAAGCAATATTTTGTTTAACCTGTCTAGCTCAATGTTAAATTATTTTTGTATGTATTTATACCTGGAAGGTACTACTTTCTGCTAAAGTATCATCAAAATTAGTGGATGTAATTTAGATATGTTTCCTTGTAAATTATTTATAATATTAATATCATTCAGTTTTTCCTAGCGTCGACTTTGATGTGTTCCGTTAATACGGAGAAAAGAAAAAAAACATTTTATTGTTATGCTTTTCTCGCTGTTACAAACATTGTTTTTAATCTAATTGAATTTTGCAGTGAAAAATTTAAACCTTTAAAGTAAATGGCACGATTTGGAATTTTAATTATAATTAAACATTTTTTTTAATTACTATTAAGCATAATTTAGAATACTAAAAACGTAACTATATATTAATAAACTATTTACACATTTACAGAAAATGTTATTAAATAAAGTCCCTCAATACTTACTGAAAACGATTATAGCCTTTAATTTTTAATTTTTAAACAGATACGCAATCTATTAATTGGATTTCAACGCATTTATCTTGAACTCATCAGTGGCTATCTTATGATGAGTTTAATTATAAGTGTATATCACTTCTATCCATAACTACATGTACTAATAGTTTTACTCACACACTTTTGTAAATGTATATAAAACAACAATTGGAAAACATATACACTTTATAATAATTATTTTAGATCAGCGAATCTTATCATCAATCTAACAACATTTATTCGCGTTTTCCACAATTATATTATGGAAATAATAGAATACAGTCTCACGTACAACAAATCACGTAACCAACAAAATTCTAAACTTCTGAACATTTTCACACATCGTTAACATTACGTTGTGACAAATATTTATGAAAATAAGTATTTCTCAAGTCCTTCATGCGTAACCAACATGTCAAAATAAACTTTTTTTTGTCGTTCCATGTTTAAAAAAATAAAATCAGAATATTATTGTATAATTACGTCAAAATATTATTATAATATAATTTACATTCAAAATATACATTGTACCTGAATATAAAAATAAAAGTGTGAATGCATACAATAACGTTGACCTTGCGAAGTTAGAATGGAATACACAGTAGAGTTTCATTTATCGAGAGTCCGTTTATCCAAATTTTTCATGATACCCAGTTTAACGAACATGACACTGACTTGTTATTATCTGAAGCCGGACCTCGTATCTTTGCCCTGCATCTAGGCGTCAAAATAAAAGACAACGAATTTAAATTAAATATTCTCAATATAAACATGAACATTAATTTATATTACACAAACAAATAAACGATAGTGGACAGATGAATCGGAAACTCCAAGAATGTATTTATTGAAGCTTCAGTTGATTGACAATTCAGTTTGCGTATTGCCGAATCAATTTCTTTAATCTCTTCAAGGATACTGGCACATATGTGTACATTTGATTTTAGTTTAACATTAACGTCCATCGAACGGA